GCCTACTGCACCTGGGATGCCGGCGCCTACTGCACCTGGGATGCCGGTGCCTACTGCACCTGGGATGCCAGTGTCTGTTGCTTCAAGCATGGACCTCCCCACTGCTCCTTTCTAACCTCACATAGGTGGGCCTGATGTTCCCAAGGCAAGCGTCTCTGGGCACTGGGCAGGCCAGAGTTAGACACAGTAGAGAGAAGAGCCCTCTGACCATGTGGCTTGGAAGAGCTCTGGTATTTAAGGGCCTGCTCTCAACTCTTGGCTTCATCCCTGCTCTGCCTTCCATATCAGAGCCCTTTGGAGTCCCGTGAGAGAAGCTACTCAGTCTCTGCTCCTGTGAGCTAGCATGCCAGCCTCCTGGGCTCTAACAGAAGGGGCTATCCAGCTCCACCCACTTCCCATGCTGTCTAACCAGAGTTTTCTTTCTCCATGACTCTATGTTCTCTTTGGTTTGGATAGTTTATGTCCTTGAAAATATCCCACCAGGGCTGATGAGATGGCTCAGTGGGTAAAGGGGCTTGCTGCCAAGCCGACAGTCCTTTAAGTTCGATTCCTGGAGGTGAGAACTGACTCCCACAAGTTGTCCTCTGACTTCCACATGTGCACTGTGTGTGTGTATGTGTGCACATGCATGCATGCATGAGGTTGCAAATGCTTCCCTATGCACACACACATACAACCAAAATAAATGCAATTATTTTTAAAATTTCATCAAACTTATAGGAAGGAAAGGAAATAGATATAATTATAAACCCTCACGCTGTAAGTGGAAGTCTCAAAATGTCTCCACTTTTTTAATGAATTATTTGCACCCAAAAGTAAACTCACAATAATTTTGTGAGTTTCATTTCACAAATAGAACATTCTACCATTTTCCAAATTTTTTATGATTTCTGCCTCTTGCATAAGTTCAAACAGTTGGAAGGGTTTGCTGTCTGAGTCACAGGCAGAGACCAAACAGGAAAAAACCCTGGCTTTCACAGGACAGGGCTCGAGAGAAGCCACTTGCTGCCAAATAACTGTTCTCCATCCATGCCTCCTTCAGTGTCTGGCAGGTTAGTCCAGACCTGAACGCATCTGCACGCCCAAGCAGATGGGGCAGTTCTGACGCAGTAGGCCCTAGAGGATTCGGCTTTTACTAGCCAGCGGTCCAATTTGTTTTCCCAGAGTAATCTTCCTGCAGGACATAGATCATTGCTGCTTCAGAACCTGAGTACAGACTGAAGAGTGCCGGGGCCATGGGAGAGTGCTGGGGCCATGGGCGGGAGAGTTTATTTCACCACGCAGGTGGAAAAGATCCAGTCACTCACGGGGAAGGCACCAAAGCACGTGTGAGGCAGCTGCTCATGGTGCAGGGTCAGGAAGCAGGTAGGGTGCTGGTGTTCAGTTTGCCTTCTCCTTTTATTTAACCTGCGCCCCCCACCTGTGGGATGGTGTCGCCCACATTCAAGGTGTCTTCTCTCTTCAGTTAAATGTTTCTGCTGACAGCCTCTGATGCTTCCCCAGACTTGTGTTACCATGGTGATTTTAAATCAGAGTGGTCAAGATTAGCTAACTGTCACAGACAGACTTTGCCAGGGAGACAAGAGAGGGGACGAATTGGCACTCAATGCCTACTGTCTGCTAGACATTGCAAGACATAGACTGTCTGCTAGGCACTGTGGATATTCACTCCTTTAACATTTTTGGAAGATACTGATGCTCCCTTTGCCCCACAGATGAGGACAGTGAGGCCAAAGAGGAGAGAGGACCTAGTCCAGCCACCGTAGGTGGAATCCACTCCCTTTATTCCATTTCTTAATCCATTTGTCTCCTTGAACACAAGATTTAGCTCCATTCCACTTCCTGGTGCCCCCTTTTCTCAAGACCAGACTGACCTCGAACTCATAAAGATCCGCCTGCCTCTGCCTCCCGAGTGCTGGGATTAAAAGGTGTGCACTACCACTGCCTGGCCATTTTATATTTTTATTTGTTTAACTTGCTCCTTTTCATTATAAATCTTCATTAGAGTTACCACTCACAACCGCACAACAGAGTCTGTACTAGGCTGTTTTGAGATTTCCTCTGCCAATGAAATGAATCTACTGCTTTCCTAACCCAATGTAACAAAGTCAAATTCCTCCAAATAAAAACAGGGTTGGGCCTATCCCAGCAATACCCCTGTCCCTGGTACCAACGGCTGTCTTAGTTAGGGTTTCTATTGCTATGAAGAGACACCATGACCACAGCAACTCTTATAAGGAAGACATTTAATTGGGGCCGGTTTACAGTTCAGAGGGTCAATCCATTTTCATACTGGTGGGGAGCATGGCAGCATGCAGGCAGACAGGGTGCTGGCTACATTTTGATCAGAAGGCAACCGGAAGTGATCTGAAGCACTGGATGTGGCTTGGGCATATATGAAACCTCAAAGTCCACCCCTACAGTGACACACTTCCCCCAACAAGACTACACCTACTCCATCAAAGCCTCACCTCCTGATAGTGCCGCTCCTTATGAGCTTATGGGGGGCAATTACATTCAAACCACAGCATGAACCCCATGGCCCCCATAAGATTGTAACAACCTGTGTTTCTAGAGTCAGTGCTTCTTCCTAATAGCTTCAGGTGGTAAGCAGGGTTGCTTGGATACCAGGGTGGGGCATCATCCCTTTAATGGAAGATGTGAGTCTGAGTCTGAAGCCTGGCTCCAAGCTTCAGAGATGGTGTGAGGTATCAGGAGGATGAAGGATCCATGGGGTCTGGGATCCTCGGGAGCCCACTGACAGACGTGCCTGAAGACTGACCCTCAGAGCCCTCCTCAGTGAGCCTCTATGGAGCAGTCATAACCAAAATCTCACTAGGTGGGTCTAGACAGAACCCCTCACCCTCGAGCCCCTCAAGAGCAGATCTGATCCCTCTTTCCCTCTTCTCGGTATCTGATCCTGTGTCTGCACTGGGCAAGGGCCTCACTCCTAATGTGTCCCCTTAGTCGTTTCTGTGCCCAGGCTGTGAACCGTGAACCCCAGCTGTCCTGTGTGGTGCTCGGGCTTGTCTCTCCGGCAGGAGGTCTGCACGCCTGTCTCCACGGTCCTGAGCTGTGTCTTCCATGTTGGAACAGGCATCTGTAGTGTCTTATATAACATCACAGTGCCGTCCTCAGTCCACAGAAAGATCTTCCCCAGATGATGCGTTTGCACAGTCTCCCGCTTCCTATCAGCCATCCTCCTGAAGTCTCCCCTGCAGGAGCACCGTTCCCACACCTTCCCCTTTCAGCCCATGTCACTTGTCGCTCTCTGCCCTTGCAGCCGCTCCCGTCTGGCCCGCTATCACCCCGTTCCGCTCAGCCCAGGGATGTAGAACTGTTCCTTCTCTCTTCTCTCCATGGCTCTGCACAGTTGTCTGAAGCCCGTGTCTGGTGACGGGAACCATCCAGCTCTTGGTCCCTAACTCCAGCCCCTTGCTCTCACTGTATGTTCCAACCCCCTCCAAAGGCTTGCTGCCTTGCTCCTGTTTCACGCACCCTTGAGCCTTATCCACTGATCCCTGCTGTAGGAAACCCATCCTGGATTCCTGGTCGTGGAGAACCTATAGGGAGTGTTCTCTGAACCCCCCCCCCCCCGGTCTCTCCACCCTTACTCTCAATCCCGTGCTTGCTCTGTGGTATGTCTTTGCCCCCGGCCACCTTACTGGGCTGGCTTTGTTGCCATTTTGCCAGCCATTTTACTGACTTCTCACACTAGTGGGTCTTTCTCACGCCCATGATATAAATGGAACCACTGGGGCCCAGAGACGCAACCTAGCTCACCTCCTGTAACGACACTGGGAACCCCACACACCCTGGGGGCCTGACCTGTGGCGAGAGGCGCTGGGTCCTGAGGAAGAAGCCGAGGAGGCAGCCCACGATGACAGACAGCACAGACAGGATGAGGAGCCCGTTGCGTCTACACACCGCCCGTCCTCGAGCCAGGACAGCGCCCAGCGCCATGCTCAGCCCCGCTGGTTGGCACCATTCCATGCGCTGTAGGATGTGGCCCAGGTCTGGGCTGGAGGCACAAGCCTCTCCACTCATGGATGAACAGAGTCCTAAGCACCTGTCACCAGCCTTGCAGCCATGGTCCGGGCAGCCACCCAGAGGGAAGCCACAATCCTATTACTAGCTGCATCATTAGGAGCCGGCAGCAGATTAGGGCCTGAGAAATTAGAGCAGGCCACGTGGTCTGTGTGTCCAGTCCTCAATGCCAAATACGCCTCTTGAAGAGGGCAGGGGGCCAGACACCATGAGAGGAAGCAGAGGTGCATCAGCCCACCTCATTCCAGAAAGATGTGGAAACACAGTGGTGAGGTGCCAGTCACTGCCAACCTCGGTAAGTGATGGAAGTGTTGGATGGGCATCTGGCGGCTGTCCCAGGAACACCTTGTTGTATGAGCATGGTGCTGCTAATGCTGGTCCCCAGAAGCACGGAGTGCCATGGATGTCACTTTGCCAGTGCGCATTCAGAGGCGTCTGGGAAAGGAGGGAACGCTGTGTGCTAGGCTTGCCCCAGGAAGCTACTGCCAGTCATGGGGACTCAACCCTACCACCTTGTCACTGGATTCCAGTCTCCAGGTCATTGAGAGAGGGACTGAGACTCCGAGAGCCTGAATCTCTTGGCACAGTCGCTGAGCCAGTGGCACTCGGCAGAATGGAGTCAGGCGGCACTGCGAGGAATTCAGACTTGAGTTCAGTTGCCCTGTCCAGCCTGCTGTTAACAGGAAATAAATACTTTTTCTTTCGGGATGCTTCAAGCCCGGGACACCATCCCACACCTCTCAGGGACTATTATCTACTTATTTATTTTTAAATTATTTTTATTTATTTTTATACGGATACATAATGTATCTTGATCAAATCTCAATGAAAAAAAACAAATAAAAAGGAGGACATGAAGCACCTGGGTATGGCGGAGGTGAAGGTTTATTGTAAAGATGAGGGAGAGAACAGCCAGAGGCATCTGGAAGAGCCCAGAGTGACTATGGACACGTGAGGAGGAGGGGGAGGGAGAGCAAGAGAGGAGCCACCTGCCAAGAGGGGAAGCCCTGGCCGAGGGTCTGGTCAAGAGACTGGTGTGGCCAAAATGGCTGAGTTATACAGGAGCCAGAGGAGTTGGGGGAAGGGGTAGCCCAGTTTCTGGGCTGGAGAGTTCAGGGTAGGGAGTGGCAGCCAGTCAGGAGGACCCTGTCAGGTAGGACTAGAGGGATGCTGGGACAACCCGGTGGCCAGAGTCTGCTTTGATATGTTAATAGGCGTCACAGCCATTTGCCCAAATCTGTTTGTTTGTTTGGTTGGTTTTGTTTGGTTTTTCGAGACAGGATTTCTCTGTAGCTTTGGATTCTGTCCTGAAACTTGCTCTGTAGACCAGGCTGGCCTCAAACTCACAAAGATCCGCCTGTCTCTGCTTCCTGATATGCTGGGATTAAAGGCATGTGCCACCACTGCCTGGCAAAATTTCCAGCCACCTGAACCGTCTGCGACCTGATAACGCCCACCCACAACAGCAACTCCTCCTGGACCCTCCCCAGCACACCCCCTCCCACCTCAATGTCCTTTTCTTTAAATAACCCGGAGGACAGCTGGTGCTTCCTGCGTGAGCGTGGAAAGCCTGCCAGCTGCCGTACTCCAAGAGGGAAAAAATCCCCTTTGTTGTGTGAAGCTTTATTCTTTTGGCTTTTTGAGAGCCCCACCACCCAGCTCTCAAATCAATCACACACAGAGGCCTATTCTTAGTTATGAATGCCCAACTTTAGCTTGGCTTGTTTCTTGCCAACTTTTCTTAAATTATCCTGACTACCTTTTGCTTCTGGGCTTTTGATTCTCTCTATTTCTGTATACCCTTTTAAAATTCTTTCTCCGTACTTGCTGTGTAACTGGGTGGTTGAGTCCTGATGGCCTCCTCTCCTTGTTCTCTTGCTCCTCCTCTTCCTCATTTCTCCTTCTATTTATCCTCTCTGCCTGCCGGCCCCACCTATCCTTGCTCCTGCCCTGCTATTGGCCGTTCAACTCTTTATTAGACCATCAGGTGTTTTAGACAGGCAAATAATCACAACTTCACAGAATTTTTTAAAAATGCAGCATAAACAAAAGAAACACACCTTAAAATAATATTCCCCAAGACCCCTTTCCTCAGCAGCCATCAGCTGCCAATAGCTCCTCGGCAAGGGGTGGAACTCATCCATGCTGGAATTGGTGACCAGCAAGTGACCAGAGGGTGCTCACAGCTACTGCAGATTCATAATTACAATGGCCTTGTCATGTCCAAAAGAGAAGTGTCACAACATTCCTCCCCATTCTGCAGCTCCCTCTTTCTGCCCCCTCTCCTAGGACGTTCCCTGAGCCTCGAGAGGTTGATCTAAATGTCCCATTTAGGGTAAGGCGTTCAACAGTCTCTCATTCTCAGCATGCTGAGCAGAAATACCTCGACTGCTGCCCACTGCTAGGAGAAGCCTCTCTGACTAAGGCTGGCAGTGGGAATAAGCATCCCCATCCCTGCATAAACCAGGCAGAGTGGTACACACCTGTAGTCCCAGTACTTGAGAAGTTGAGGCAGGAGGCTTAGAAATTCAAGATCACTCCCAGCTACTTATAGAGTCAGAGGCCAACCTTGGTTGCATAAGATGCTGTTGAAAAAACGTTCTAGCTTTATTGGCAAGATTGCTGTGCAAACTTGGGTACATTTTTAGCCTCTTGTAAAGTGGGGAGAAGACAATGGTCTCCCGTAGACTTGTGTCTTAGTCAGGGTTCCTATTGCTGGGAAGAGACACCATGAACACGCAGCACTTATAAAGGAAAACCTGTATCTGGGGTGGCTTACAGCTCAGAGGTTTAGTCCATCATCATCATCACACATATAAGCAGATGTGGTGATAGAGAAGGAGCTGAGAGTGGAGAAGGAGCTACATCTTGATCCCGCAGGCAACAGGAAGTGGTCTGAGATACTGGGCATGGCTTGAGCATAGGAGACCTTAAAGCCCGCCTTCACAGTGACACACTTCCTCCAACAAGACCATACCCACTCCAGCAAAGCCACACCTTCTAATAGTGCCACTCCCTATGAGTTTATGGGGGCTGATTACGTTCAAACTACCCCAGCTTGTGATGTGGGCTCCCTGCAATACTGCAGGTAAGGTACTTAGGTCATTGTGAGGCACTCAGGTACTCCTAGGCAACCTTATTTCCATCTGGGGTTCATTCCTGCTAGAGAAAACCTCCAAAGCCGGTAGTTAATTTGTTGTGGGGAACCTCGGAGCATTCTGAGGTTCTGGGGCTTGGGACACACACGTGGGAAGCTGCGGCTTCCAGAGTGGAGCGCACGTGCCTCTCAGGACATCTGATGTCTTGGGGCTTGTCCAAGTTCGCTTCTATTGCTGTTATAAAAAAAAAGAAAAAAGAAAAAAAAAAAAACCATGACCACAAATGACTTTGGGAAGGAAAGGGTTCATTGGTTCATTTGGCTTACACCTCCATCACAGTCTATCATTAAGGGAAGTGAAGACGGGATGAACTCAAGCATAGGCAGCAGCGGAGGAATCACCACTTACGGGCTCCCTCCTCTGGCGCATGCCCACTTCCTTTCTTATCCGCCCAGACCTCCTGCTCAGAGGTGGCACCACCCACAGTGGGCTGGACTCTCTCATGTCAATCATTAATACCGAACAATCCGATGGAGGCATTTTCTCAGTTGAGGATGCAGCTTCCCCTGTGACTCTAGCTTGTGTCAAGTTGACAAAAAACCAAACCAAACCAGAACTAACCAGCACAGGCTCCCTCTTTCCCCTTCGCTGCACACGCCATCTTCCTACACCTTATATGGAAGGCCTCCTTTCTCAGCCTCTCAAATCTTTGCCCATGCTGCTTCCTCTGCCTAGAACGTCCATCACTGTCCCCGCAGTCCCAGGTCACATGCCACTCTTGCTGGACACCCTCTCTTCCCATCCCCAGCTCAGGCCAGTGACGAGCCCCAGTTCCTTGACAAGTAGCTCTGATGAGGGCAACGATAACCTGCGATATCCCAGAGTCTGGAACCCCTCTGTGGAGGAGGGAGTTGCGCAGGGGCGCTGTGTCGGCAGTGAGTATCTAGGGGGCTGCAGGTGTTAAGATGTTGAAACAGAGATCATGAGCCCGGCTGGAGCCTTAGGGACGCACAGCTCTGCCAGGGTATGCCCTTGATTGCAGAAGAGTAAAGAGGGGCACAATAGCCTTGCCAAACGTAGGCCTGTTTGGTCTGACCTCAGTAAACCAGAGAAGGTGCAAGGGAAGAGCCTGTTCTGAAAGTCAGCGCAGAGCTGGAGAGCCAGCAGCTCCAGGGGCTGGGGCCTGACCCCTTCCAGCAGGTGTCAAGATACATTAGCTGAGCTGACCAGACCCTAGCTGGGTTGGGGTGATGACTGCTCTGGGTTTGTTGGCATCTTTCCAGAGACATACCAGAGGCGCCTGCTTCTCCCCAGCTCACCTCTCCAGCTTGCCAGAGACTGAGCCCTTCCGGGAAGGTTGCTGTGAGCAGCCAATCCCGCCAGTGTGAATTCCTGGTATCCTTCATCCCTGGAGACTTGGCTAACCTCTGTGGAGGGCTCTACCCCCCTCCTTGGCCTCAACAGACAGAGGAAAGTGACTTAGGGGAAGGCGCATGTCTGCACCTGCCGTCTCCTTCCTGCCCTTCCTGTCTGTCTAGCCATGACTTAGGGAAGTCAGGCCTGAACCCCAGTGAGCCCAGCAATGGTTCCATGCTGAGCACTCTGCCACTGTGGGCACTCTAACTCTGTCACCTGAACTTACCAGGAAGTGCTGTGCCTCAGGGGAGCCAGTGGGTCAGCAAGAACTCCCTGGACCAGAAAAGTATCTGGTCACAAGGCCTGTGTCATCCAATCTCTCTGTTTCAATTGAGCAAAATAAACTATAGGATGCAATTGCTCAGTCAAACTAGGCACATTTCAGGGCTTCAGTGGTCTTGTGGCTACAGCGCTGCACGGAGCAGTCACAGT